CTGAAAAGACGTGTTTGTAGTTATGTGACTATGAAGTCATGACATCATTGTCGTCATCATGTTGGTATAACGTCATGGAGCCATTGTAATTATGTGACTATGACGTCATAACGTCATTTGTAGTCATGTGACGTTATTATCATGACGTCACTTGAATTTAGCCCATTATACTATCCCCTTTTGAAATTAAATAATTTCTTCAAAATAAAATCATTCTAGATCAGGCGTCTGTATGGAATATTCTAAGGAATTCATAATTTTCTTAAGCTATCATTTAATATTTTAACCTTAAATTGTGCATTGAAAATTTCTTTCTATGAAAATATCTACAATAGTTCATACCCACAAGAAATCTCTATATATATCATAGTTATAAATAATCAATTATAAATATCAGAAAAAATGATTATATACCATTGTTAAATAAAATGCTTCGTTTTAATCATTCAAGTCTACGACACCTTGAAACCATAACATTAAAAAAAACTAATTTTTCAAAATTTGAAATGAAGTGAATTAATTCCGTGAGGGATAAAGAGACTGAGCACCTCAGACTCGAGATGATAAATCGCGCACAAATTTCCGTCTACTATAAAAATGTTACAAAATATTACAAAATATTATTCTGAAACAGTCTGGATAGTCACAACACATCAATATAAAACTTACTACAGAAAATCAGTAAAAAGATTCTAAAAAAAATATGGCACATTTTTCTCTCATGCCGTTCTACGTGCGTCATTGTCTTCAAAAAACGATGACTCATCCTGTGACAACATTTTCAAAGCAGACAGGCGAGGGGGGATAAAAAACATGCGACAAAAACAACAAGATAAAAGTCGCTTGCCTGAATGATATATTCCAACGACGCTGACCTGAGAGATTTGTTGCTGACGTCCCCTTCTACCCCCTTCGCATTCTCAAACGTCTTCCTAAAGAATGACTTTGCCCGCCAGCTGCATATCGCGCGACAGAGGACGTTTTAAAATCACTGAACTATAGCCATAACTTTAAAACCTTTTTAAGCCCATCTTGGAGAAGCGCCGGCACGGAGAGCGTAATGGACAAATTATGTACACCGTGTTTATTTGGCATGAAAAAGTCAAAGGAAGGAGGGGGTGTTCACGTGATACTCTGCATTCCTCTGAGGGGGTGGACGAGGATGTAAATTTTTATCCCAAGATCGTCTGCAAACGGAATGGCGAGATAAAGGGTTTTTTCACAGTTGTGACAAAGCAGCCATGCGATGCCATTCAGCCATTTGGGCAAAAGATGGGCGCATGCAAATGCGCTGCTTTCGGCAAACAATTCAGAATAACAAAATTTAGACGTTTTTGAACCTTTTGGAATTTTGGAATGTTAAATTTTCCCCTCACTTAAAGCCTATTGGACGCGATGTTAAAAAATAGGAACTATAATCTGGAAGTACTTTTTAAGACATAAAAATTCTCCAAAATTAATATCTTTTACTTCACCATTTCTACAAAGAACAAAATATTTCATTACACTTTTAATTCTTGTATGAATCGATTCATATTCAGGAAAATGGAACGTGCCAAAGAAAGTCAAATTTCGAACTCTTGCACTCATATGAAGAACCCGACATCGTTAACTTCATCAAAATACAACGAATTAAATGGGAAGGTCACGTTGTCAAAATGTACGAAGACCGCACCACTAAAAAAGTCTTCAATGCCCAACCAATTGACACACGGAGAAAAGGCAGGCCAAATCTTAGATGGATTGATAGCCTAGAAAAAGATCTTAGTTTTGAGAACTAAAAACTGGAGAACACTAGCAGGAAGAAGGCTGGACTGGAAAAGGCCAAGGCTCACCCCTGGCCGCCGAGGAAGGAGGGAAGGTTGCATCAATTCATTTATCCTGGTGTAAAATGCAAAATAGACTAATACCAAATAGTTTTTTTTTTGCATTAATTGCGTATTTACTTAAATGTTTCTACGTTTCAATACAGGGACGGGCAACTGGTTTTGGCTCGCAGGTCACAGTGTTGGAGTGTTTGATATCGGAGAGCCGTACCTACTTAAAATAATAGCCATCATTTTGTGAAAAATAATAAATATAAATTTAATAAAATAAGCCGGCTGGGTGGCGTAGTTAGTTTGTCACAGGCCTTCTATACCTAATGTTGCGGATTCAACCCTGGTCCAAGTTCACTCAAATAAGTTGTAGAAATTTGTAATAATGTTTTCAAAACTTTTTTGGGGCTGTTATGAGGTAATCGCCACTAATTTTAATCTAAAATGAATTAATCGACTCTTCCGAATATTTTTAAATTCAATCTCGATTATTACAGAACGAAATTAGTTTTTCCTTGCACACACACACATTCAAAGTAAATTCATATACATATGTATCCTTACGCAAATGGATTCGAACCCAAACAAATTTTTTTTAATCTACAAATATACCACGAGTATTCTTATTTTATTTCTTTAAAACAGCCAGATGATTCAATTCCGAATTTTATTTTTTTCTCACAATATAATTAATAATTTCAAAAAAATTTGATGGGACACAAAAGTGCTGCGTCAGTGATTGAGAATTACTGAATTAAGACTAATATGGCGTTAGTAAAGGAGAAAAAGTATCTGAATTGCAATTTTGGATGAGAACATAACTAGGGCGAAATGCATAAATAGTTCCGATAAGTGAAATTTTCTAACAGTGAATTAGTGAACTCCACCATGAAATATTTTACCCCTTGCATCAAATATATTATCCCCTGAAATAGAATTTTAAAAGGTTTTTTTCCCAAGTTAAATTGTACTACTTTATAAAATATTAAATACAGTTAAAATGAACCGATGTTCATTATTTAAAGAATAAAAGAAATGTAAACTTTCATCCACTTCTAAAAAATATTTCCATGAAAATAAATTGGAATTACCATCAAGTAAGAGAACTCACTTGCTGTTTAAGTTTTAACGTAAGCTTTCGGCATCGTATCTCGTAAAAGCTAAACTTACCATAGAAAATTTGAAACATCAATTTAACGATAAAAAGTTTGGAATAATTTTTAAAAATTATTAAAAAACTATTTTTACGCATTTAATTTCTTTAAAAATTCATTTTCATAGAAGAGTTATTTTTTTAATTTGTTTCAGTAAAATTCAAAAAGAAGTATTTTTCCTCTGTATCAAAATATTGATTTAACAGTAAAATGTATTGTAAACATTCAAAAACAATTTCGTGCCTTCACTGAAATTTAAATCGTTTGCCTTCTATAATTAAAATAAAATATTTTTTGCATCTGCAAATGAAGCTTGGAATGTATTTTACTGTTAAATTACCACTCTAATTATTTCATAAATTGTTACCATTCAACCATTCAAATTAACTATTTAGAAACCATAAACACCACTTTCAAACCCTGAAGAGTAACGTATATATATACCGTAAAATCCAGCGTATAACGCACACCTATACTTTCAAGCTTAATATTTTAATTTTTAGGTATATTCGCCGTATAACGCGCACCCCTTTTCTTACGAGTACCCCCTTATATTAGTATACATTGCTTATGTTTTGAAGTCATTTATTCGCGATATTATCCCAGACTTTTGACAAAATTGTTTTCTTCTAGAACTGCACAACTCTCTCTTTTAGCTCATTACGGCAAGTGATTTCTTTTAAATAAACAGCATTTCGATTCATGTAGAAGTAAAAAAAAGTTTTATGCTCATCTCTTTTGTTATTTTTAAAGTTATCGTTCTTATACCCGGCGTATAATGAGCCCCCTTATGTAAGTTTCGATCTTATTTTTTGCGTTAAAAGTGCGCGATATACGCCGGGTTTTACGTTAATTGGCCCTGGAATCGCTTATATGAAGCTCATATTCATTTCAAAATGCAATTTCATAGAAATAGAATTTATCACATTATTAATATAAAATATATCAGAATTTCAATAAATGTGCAATCCGTATTTTAATTATATAATTTTAAAAATTTAATACAAATCATACACACACACACAAATTATCTCTCTTTTTTTTTCGTACATTCATTTCAAAGTGGTTCAAAGATCTTGGTGACCTAACAAGTCAATATTAATATTATTAGTATTAAAATCAATACACACACAATCCATTAATAGTTTATCTCTCCACAAATAACATTACTGTAAGATTAATTAATCAATAAATCAAAGAATTAAATACGAATACATGTAATTCCAGCTATACAACACAACTGTTTCACTACACCACGATCAAACTATTTAACGAGGTAAGAAATCCATTTTTCTACATCACTGTACACAACGCAGAAACCGGCGTCACACCCATATCTTTGTTTGGTCTTTTAAGAGCATGACATGGTTGATCCAAGCTCTTCGCTTAGAGAATTCTAGGTATAGTAGAGGCGTCTACTATGTAGTCACATATCAGCTCAAACTATTCATCATCATCATCATCGGGTCGACGTCCTTGTACAATAAAGAACTCAAATATATTATCTAATTTACTAATCCATGCAAACGACATGAATGACCTGTGTTCTGTTTAGAACCTTAGACCTCTATGGGGTTCATCACGCAGATGCCTCCCACTTGTTTATGTATCATATGATAATAAAAGAAATGTCAAATTATCTCTGTGTAATTGTCTTCTTTTTCAATTCCTAGCTATCCAGATTCACCTTGTTCACAAATTTATGTGTTTTTCAAGAACATAAAATAACACAAATTCTTTACTTTTAACAAATTTATCCCTTTATGTACTGTATTTTTCAATTTCTACTATTAGTTCACCCCCTCCCTATATATATATCTTGTTCAAATTTTCAATCGTAAATAAAATACTTTCTATTCATCCATCAAGTTCAAATACATTTTTTTTTAAACTTGAAGTACATAACACTGAATGTTAATACAGTTTTTTTCAAATATTAATTCATTAATTAAACTTAATTAATGAATAAATAGTAACAAACAAAAGTAATAGCCCGACAGTATATATAGAAAAGAAACTCGTTCGACATGTCCCTGTAGCGCAATGAATAGCGCGTTAGACTTCTAATCCAAAAGTCGTGGGCATGAATCCCACCTGGGATGGCCTACTTTCTGAGGATGTCGTTTCTTTTTACTATACTATTTTATTGAAATAATTAAATTTAATGAATGAATAAATTGTAACAAACAAAAATAATAGTCCAACTCTCTGTAGAAAGAAAAATGGAAAATTACAAGGAAAATAGATTTCTAGTTTGTCACTTAATATTGCAATTCTGTCATATGTATGTACATATTTATATTAGTTTAACCATTTAATAAAAAATAACTAAAATAAAAAAAAAAATTGTTGACCTAAGTAGGAATTGATTAAAAATTTTTTTTTATATTACTTGTTCTCTTCTACTCTTTATTTCTGCCAAGCAATATTGGCAAAATAAAAGGAAATATAGGCACCACCCCAAAACATGTTGAACCCTACTAGCTCAGTCCTGAGCTTGAGTATTTGCTTAGCATCAGTCTGACTCGTATTTTACCGTATCTTTTTACTTTCTTACTCGATGTTATTACTTTAACGTTAGTTAATTCTGGTGACTTCATACTATATAGACACACACTGCAAAAACTAATACAAGTCAAAATATAATCTGTTTTTTCTAGTCATGAATCAAGAATATCAAAAAGTAAAGAACCTCACAAATAAGAGGAAAATAGTCAAATGGACCAAAATTCAGAACATTACTATGTTGTTCAATTTATTTACTGACTGAGGAGAGTAAAGTGGGATTAAGAAAGCTTTATGTATCCACATTCTCTCCTATGGAATTTAATCATAACATCACTTTTAAATAGAGAAGAAAAACAAAACGAGGGCTATTGGCGACGGGCCTCACAATTTTAAACTTTGGTCAAGTGATGAGGACAACACCCGAGACAGAGCCCCCTTCCCATCCAAACTGCCACACCACGTCAATAGAAGGACTTTGAACCTCGACAGACTTAACGTGCATTAGCATCTCTATACGGAGGTTTTTCAGTGTCGCTGGACTCGAACTCCTGACTCGTCCAGCATGAGTTCGTGACCACAACCAGTAGGCTACCACGACCAAGCACAAGAATTTAAGCCGCATACATACCACAAACTTCAAACCCACAAAACATCGAAAATATCCTGCTTACTATGAAACTTGCACTCTATTGGAAAAACATTTCTAGTACAATGAACAAAATATAAAATCGAAAATCATAATAGGCTCAATTCATAACTGTCACATGATAAAGACAAACACTTGTTCTCCATTGAATTCAAAACGAATATCAGACTAATTGTACTTGTTCTTTTGTAAAACTTGGATAAAATTTCAAATTTTATAATTGGGTAAAAATGTTCAAATGTTATAAGAAATAAAGTTCTGCAAAAGAGTTTAAATCTCTTAAAAAATATCGTATTTTATGCATGTACTTTCAAATAAAGTGCCTTTTGTCTACCTATGTGCATTATTGTTGTTGACAAATTTGTACTTTTTAAGAGAAAGTTTCTGCAAAGATATCAAAAGCTAGCAATAACGCAGCGCATGAACTGATTAGCTGGAAACACGCGTTTGCTTTTATTGTGCGACTATGACGTCACATGAATTGAACCCATTACATAATCACTAACTCTGAAGTACAGAAACTAAAGTAAATGCTATACAATAATAATAAAGATAATCTAGAAATATTCGATTTCTTTTATTTTTGTTACATAACAAACACATCTCCAATTCCCATTATTAGTTCTTTACTATTTAAAAACTAACACTAACATCTGCATTTTAATTCCAAAGATTTAGCGTAAAGATTTTATATATATAATATTTCAATACACTTTGAAAATCGTAATTTTTATTGCTGTATGCCAGTGTTTCAAATAATTTTTCAATCTAATCATTTCAATTCCCATAAGTAAAAAATCGAAAGATAATATTTTTTTTAAAATAAACATATATAAAATTAAAAATCTATTTTTGAAAAAAAACCTTGAGACTTATAGTCTTATAATTTTAATCATATATTTTATTTTAACCGGTAATTTATTTATTTATTTATTTTTGGAAAAAATTCACGCACAAAGCAGATATTTCAAAACAGTTATTTTGCGAGAAAAATTGAAAATTTTTAAAATGAGTGTAAACGTTATATTATACTTTTATTCATTATAATAGCAGTTTTAGGAATTTTATTTCAAAATATTTAATTTTATCGTTAAAAATATTATAATTTGACTGCAAAATTTTTGAAGTGTTTACACATTTTAAAAGGGATAAATTTAATGAAATGTCTATGAAAAAAGGCTTAACATAGCAGTGAATCAGGCTTATCATACTATTATAGAATTGATAACTTAATTGTTCAAATGTATTTAATTTTTTTTTATAAAAAAATAAGCAAACGATATTTTTATAGTGTAGAATAAATCTAAAAATCTGGAGAACAAAATGGCCTGAATACAAATCTCCATTTCTAAACTAAATATTGCACAAAATATTTTACCTATTGTAAAGTTATATGGTTCACAAACAATATTATGCTAATTTTATGAGCTAAGGAAATAGAATTTTTAAATTTTCACCAATCAAACATTTTTAAATCAAAAAGTTCAGAACTCTCAAAGTAAAATGAAAATGAAAATTTATTTTTGTAAATGTCAGTATGCAATAATCGTTTGCATATTAATTAACATGTTTGAAATGATTGTGCAAATGTATCTTCTAAACTGGAAAATCATTTTAAATTTAAATGCTAAAAATTATTAAAAAAAAAATTTCTAAATAATAAAATTCGAAATTGTTCGATTGCCGAAACTATTTTATTGCTTAAATTGTACAATTTTAAATACTCATACTTTCGTGCAAAACACTATAATTTTGTATATATCGAAACTTAATTCTACAATAATCGCGTTGTCGGACATTTCAAATTCATATTAAATTGAAATTTTAAAATAAAGAAAAATCAAATACACTGCCAAATATTCATAAATGTAGAATTTTATGTACATTGTTAAACACACAAACTATACTATATAGTTTTAAAAACACTCACACCAATATAATTTAAAGGTATCCGAACATATTCAGAGTTCTATTTTAAAAATAGTACTCTATAAAAAATTATAAATACTTTTTTAGAGATCAATACCAATAAATATGAATATTTAACCAGTAATATTTAATATAAGTTATCTAAATTTTAGGAAAATCACAATTATAAGAAAAATTTTAGCAATTTTTTCAAAAACACTTTAAAGCAGTTAGGAAAACCAGTAATAAACTTATATAAATAAAAGTATTACTAAAATAAACTACGTGTCCTTATCTGGGGAATGTATATAAAAATTTTAGAGTTGATGTAATAAATATTTTAAGAAATGTGATATATTTTACGAGGCTGTTATTGAAATAGCAGGCCATAACTCAAAAAATATTAATACAGTAAGTACATTCCCTAGAAAATAATATAAATATTAGGTTAAAAAGGTTTCGTAAAAATATATTCATAACATTTTGAGTTATCAGATTCGTAAGGATAGATTTTGAACAAATTAAATGCTTACTTTTGGTTTTGGTAGGTGAAAAAGATCCCCCCCCCCCGGGTTTGCTAATTCTATGTAATTTAATGTAACTCGTATTCTTTGTAACGCGTAGAAATAAAATAATATGTGATTTGTAAAGCCAAAAGTTTGTGCTAATCGATAAAAAAAAATGTATGTGTTGATCGAAATGGGTCCTTTCAACGTGTTTGAATACCTTAAATATGTAAGTTAATATTATAGTAGAGCAGTGGTTATCAAACTTTTTCGGTTAACGGAACCCTTAAAACTATAAATTGTCTTCCAGTAATTGCACTCGACACACGCACTGTTAGAAAATTACATATTAAAATAATACACTACTGGCCATTAAAATATAGCTACACCATTAAATGGTACTTACTTCTTAGGATCTAGGCACTCAAATTTTTTCAAAATTTAATCACTTGTTATTTCCAGTGTTATATATTTGTCCAATAAATATTATTTTCTTATCTGCATTTCTTCCTGGTGTAGCAATTTTAATGGTCAGTTGTGTATTTAAAGTAGTCCACATGTTATAGGTATCTTATATAAAGGCAATTAAAAAAAGAATAGCAATTGTCGATGAAAAAAAATTTAATCTAGTTTAACATGACTTACTTATTAATAATATTAATTTTTGATCCAGTTGTCATCTATACCCCTACATTATATTTCGTAAATACTTGCATTTGCATTTTTTTTTTACACTGTCAAGGTCTATTGAAATCGTCTGCAATAGCATTTCATATTCTGCGTTTAATTCATTTCTATATTTTGTTTTTGTAGCCACTAACGTTGAGAGAAACATTTTCCCTTGAATACCTTATTCCTAATGACATCAAAATGTTTATAACGGTGTGAGAAATTCTGTGTACTTTGTATTAATTTGCAGCCTAAGATTTAGGAGCTGTTCTTGCTTAAATTTAGATTTTAATTTCGAATATGTTAAAATGTCGATAAATCCTTCCTTCTTCATAATAGGCGTCTTTTTTTTCCACAAATGGAAAAGGTATATTTTTCATTAGAAAACTATTAATTTTGAAAAACATTCCATTAACGAGTATAAAATTATCTTGTGAAACCCGGGATAGTAATCTATAGAATTTAACAGGTAGTTCATATAAAGAAAAAAACGATTTGATATTTTTTTACTATATTATAATAAAAGTTTTAAACGCATTTCAAAATAAAGTTATATTACTTATAAATAAAATTTTCAGTTTTAATGGGCTGGTATAAGCTTTAGATACTTGTGGTTATACAAACTTCATCGAGAAGGGAAATCTATTTTTCATGTACATTTATTATTTTCCTTTCGACTTTTAACTGCGACTCGTGGAACCCCAGGGTTCCGTGGAACACAGTTTGAATATCACTGTAATAGAGAATGGGTGTTATATTTTACCAGTTTGTTTCTCACTATCTCATATAATTCTAATAACTTTAAATCTTACTTTTTGAATTTAAATTGGAACATTCTATATCATTTCGATATCAAGGCTATTCG